GGTTAACAACCTATGAGTTAAAAGCCAACAAACATTGGCGAATAAAGGGGAACAACCGGTACCCACCGCTTGATACCTCTACTACTCAGTTACTTGGCGACTAGGTAACAATCATGTTTACTTGGTCACTCCTTAAAAATTTTAGTATGAAACTAAAAAGGTGTTCATACAGCACCTATTCACACTAGATTTAATATGGCGGGAAACAGTCGGCCTAGACGGCCTAAAGTCTCTAGCCTAAAAGCATGACAAGTAGGAAACAACTTTCCTACTTGGTTAAATTTTACAAATGACAGGACCGCCTGCCTAAAGGGGATCCAGTCTTTAAAATGGTTCGAATACCGATTTGATAAATGGCCGACTGATCGTCTAGCCTGGAAACAGACAACCAGTCGTCCAGGGGCATAGGCGGCGTGACTAACTATCCGTACCTGTTTGCAACTATCGGCCATGTAAAACAGTCGGTATAGTGTACAGTTGGATATCAGAATATTCAATACTTAAACAAATTTGAAGCAAAACAAAAAAAAAATCATTAAAAAGAAGCCGGTCATTAAAGACCGGCAAAATATTCAGAGCCCCGGCCCTCTGGCCGGGTAAATACAAACAAACGGCACGCAGGTCGTGGAAAGAAGACATAAAGCTTAAGAAGGGGGCAGATCTTCAATATTAGCAGCTGCCGCCTGGTCAGCACTCTTCTTGCTGGACTCGGCTTCAGCTGCATCCTTCTTTGATGCATTACCCCCAAGCGGCACAAGCGCCACTACCGGCTGCTCCTCCTCCTCCAACGCCTCTTCCTCAGCAGCCACCAGGATCTCTTGATTATATCTATCAGAACACTGGCGGTACGTTTTTTTCCCATGAGGAAAAGTCGACATTGGGGAAGAGGCGGCCCCAAGTCATGCGCTGGATTTGAGCAGTCTTCCATCATCTCTCGGACCAGCTCTTTCTTTTCTTGCTCGGCCTTTTCCGAGAGCTCCTGAGTAAGACTCTTCTCCTGGGTCACCAGGCGTACCTTTACGCTCGCCAAGGATTTCTCCAAGGTTTCGTATGAGGACATCTTTTGGCGAAGAGGTCTCAGCTCGGCCTTGAGGTTGTTGATGGTCGCCTCCAGCTCGCTATTCCTCTTCTGGGCCGCCTCTAACTGAGCCCGGATAGCGGCGGTAGCCTGCGCCTGATAATAAATAATATCAATGGTCAGAACTTCATTTTGGGCAATTTGAAACATTGCCTTATCACAGTCAGAGGCGGCCATAGCTTTTGCAGCCTTTACCTCTTTGTTCTTCCGGTCAAGCGGCTTGCGAAGGCCGTTCACTCGGAGCAGGGCCTAAGTAAAAAGGGGAACAGGCGTCAGTTTCCAAACAAAAAAGAAAACAGGCGTCCTGGAATTCAAATACTCAAAAATATGCTAAGTATACCTCAGCAAGGACCCCTGCAATCCCGTCTAGGTCAAGGGTGCCGACACCCCTGACCGCCTCCCTTTCAGCTGGAGGAACGACCTTGATCATAGACTTGGCCACCTCGACCAAGTCAGGCTCCTGAGGGCCGGCTGCATCAAGCATAAACAAACGGATTAGACCTAGTAAAGAAGGGAGCAAGTCTAAAATTTACAAGGATAATTTCATACTTCTAGGTGGCCCAGCTGGAGTTTTAGAAGAAGTGGCCGGCTGTTTCTCAGCCGCCACATGTTTCCTGGCAGAACCAGGAGAGCTCGCAACAGTCGTCCTCTGGGCCTTGGGGTCCGGCTGTTGGGAAGAAGAAGCTCTTGGAGCGCCCGTCTAAAAAAGAAGAAAAGAGTCAGTATATGCATAAACACAACTCCAAAAAGAGGGTGAAAGGTTCGAAGCCCACCAAGGGTGCCCCCTTGTTGGGGGAGTCGGTTGAAGACTGTTGCATGATGGAGGCCCGCAACATGGCCGCCGCAGTCTTGGAGGCGATAATTTTGCTCATGGCGTCCGCTGCAAAAACAAATAGCAAAGTTAATAAAAGTCATAACAAGAAATGCATGGAACAACAGAGTATTCGACAGGCCGGCTACCTCTTGAGCACCGACTGCTGAGGCCACAGGCGGCCAAAAAGTACTCGTCGTAGAGCCATTTGAAGCTCGGGACGCAGTGCAGGGGTACTTGCTCTCGTACCCCTGAAGTAGAGTTCACCTTCGACTCTACTTTGAAGAGTCCTTTATCTAGGATCTCTTTCTTAGCCTTGGGGGGAACAGGCGGCATGCTGCGGCCGCCTGCAAGAAGGGGCGGATTCCTGTTCCACCTGTTGAAGCGCTTGTTCAGCTCTGTGTCTGAACTCTCAATGATAAGGAAGGTGCTCCGTCAGTCCTTCCATTTGTTTGCTTTACCTCTCGTCATGAGGTAGCCCCTGTGGCTCGTCAATTGATACCAGCCGGTACCGCCTGCCTTAGGGGTCCGGCTGAGGTAGTTCATGTGGGCGAAAGCCTCGAAGTTCGGCTCCACCCCGTGCAGTTCGCACCCGACCACATAGCCGAGTACGTTGACCCAGGAGTTCGGGGCTAACTGCCATAACCCCAACTCATACCCATCCAAGATCCGCTGAACAGCCGGATGTAGTGGGAAGCGTAGCCCAACCTTGATGGCCGCCTCGTAGCAGCCAAAGCAGGCGCCATCATAACTGGTACCAGCCGGCCAGACGACTGTGTCTTCTGGATCCGGCACGAACACTAAAAAGCCGGGGCCCATTGTGTGGTTTGCGATAAAGCTCTCCACTTTCTCTTGCATGACTGTGATCCGGCCCCGAGGTACCGTGCAGTAGTAGGGGGTATTTTGCTCTCGGTGAGAGGCGGATGGCTCCGCCCAATCGTCCCCCTTCTCAACTGCGTGAGAAAGCCTCGCCTCTTGCAGGCGACTGTTTTTCTCTTCTGTGTCCAGAGAAGCATGGCCAGAAGAGCTAGACTCGGAATCGTCCTCTGACGAGTCCGAAGAGGACGACTCCTCCCCTCTCCCGGAGGGGCCCGCCTCCTCTCCTTTAAAAGGAGCAGGAGAGAATGTTGAATTGTCAACTGTAAAATGGGAAGGGGTCACTTTGACTCCTCCCTTAGAACTGCCGGCTTTCAAGCCGCTTTGTTTCACTTCCACATCTGGCGCCTGGTCAGATGTTTCACTAATCGGCACCCTGTGGGAGGAGCCGTCTGAGTTTGAGATCCTGGCAGTCTTTTTTGTTCTGGCCATCATGCTCTGCATAGACACAGATACAGTCGGACTTTGTATAAAGGGCAAAGATGGGTCCAGAAAAGGGCAGGCGGCACTCCTAGTCCTAGATTCAGCCGTCCCCGGTGACCGGCTGATCACTAACCTAGGTCGTGTCGTGTGCTTCCGTGGTGCCATTTCAAAAAAGAATAAAGTAAAGAGAAAACTAAGAGTAAGAGAACCGACGGTTACCTGAACGAGTAACGATTGATGAAGTTCTGAAAATCCTTTGCAGTCGGCTTGTCAGAGCAGGCGGTAGGCAGAAAGGGTTCAAAATGTCAGAGCAAGTTCAGGGGTCCGAATGTTCTCTCACAAAGTGTTCAAGTGTGAAAATGACCGAAGTCAACACTCCTTTATATAGGCGAAGTGAGAAGGCGAAGGGTCACTTCCAGAATTCAAAATTTTGGCGGGAGAATCTCTCGGCCTCTCGCCGAGTGACACCTGTAGCAGGCCGTCGCCTGTTACAGGGCGATACCTGTCACAGGTAACACGTGACCAGTCACGTGCCACCTGTGAGGGGCAAATGATTAGGGGATTTTCCCCCACCAATCACCATCTGACAAGTGGACCAATCAGGCTCCGCCATGTGTCCGTCACATGGGCCAATAGGAGCCTGCCACGTGTCAAGCAATGATCCGTCCACTATGGACCAATTACGACACGACACGTGTCCTTCCCATGACACCTGGGATAACCGGTCACCTAGGCCCAACTTCCGTGGGAAGCCCAATCAGCCCAAGGTTAACCTAAACCTAGATTGGCACGTTTCCCGAGGTTATAAATACCTCCCTTAATCCTCATTAAGGGAGATTACGCAGATTACACACATTAAACTCTCTCACCTAGAGAGACCCAATCACTTTAATTTCCGAATTAATTACTCCTTAATAAAGTACTAACTTGACCGTCGGAGGCGGATCTCCAATCATCCGGAGCATCCGTTTGTTTTGCAGGTACAGGCGTCCGGTTCCAGTCTCGGAATTGTAACTCTCCCGGAGGACATCAGAAAACCCCGAAACAGTATTCTCATTTATAATCGTTTAACTATTAAAAATTATGGGAAATTAATCATATGAGATTTAGTTTTATTCGTCTTAGTCTTTTGCCTATGCGTTTATTTAATATATTCGTTCTGTTTAAAATGTTAGTCTCATTTATAATCGTTTAACTATTAAAAATTATAGGAAATTAGTCATATGAGATTTAGTTTTATTCGTCTCGATGAGTACGTTATTAAAATCAAACTTTTATAATATTTGCTAGGGAAAGATTAAAAATATTTGCGATAAAAAAATTGCATCCATATAGATAATTATTACTTAGTTTTTATTTTTTGGTTTTTATTTTTTATTTTTAAGAGAAGATAATTATTGGTTTTTTAAAATAATTTAAATTTTAATTATTCTCTATTCGTTGTTTTTACATACGTGTCAAAATTCTTAAATATTATTTTTCACTTTTGCTTAGGTGGCGAGTAAATTTTTTAATTCTAAAATAAATTATTAATCTAATTTTTCATTGGACAAAATAATACATTTTCTTATGTGGCGCGCCAAATGCTCCCGAAAAATGCCTACTTTATTTATATATAGTAGATTAGATTTTATTAGAAAAAATAATTTCTAAGCTAATTAGTGAATTATCCTCCAACAGCTTCGCTATTAGCTTGAAAGAGTTGCTCGTATAGATGATAATATGAAAATGGAGTTTTAACTCTCTTTTACAGCCCCCTTTAGTAATGATTTGGTACTTTCAGTTGTTTAAAACAATTAAACTACTTGACAGGTCCACTAACATTCAATTACAATGCTTCTAATTCAGCTAGCATACCACAATTTCAGTTAAATCCATATTCATGGACAAAGGTACGTAAATTATTTATTCATTGTGTTAAAGGATTTTTCTCAATAAGACTAGTGTTGTTACTGTATAAAGAAGACATGTTTTAATTTATAATACATATCCCGCCAAACCAACTACATATTGGTGGGGAACTCTACTTGACTACTAGTGATATTGAGATCATAAATTCGAGTCCAACCAACTATATATAGGAGTAAGGGAATTTCTCACCTTTCCTTTCATTCTTAAGCGATGACCTGCATAACTGGCTTGACTAACTAACCTGTGAAAGATTTTGGTTTAATATAATAGAGTCCTTCTTACCCCCTCCCAAAAAAAAAAAAACACAAAAGTGCTTGTTGTATTTCCTTATTTTAATTTGTTTGTTACATATTGCCTTTCACAACTTTTAAAGGTATGGACCATTACTTCTTATTATTTAGCTTGAGGTAAAACTATTAAAAAAAACTAATAATTAAAAAAGATACTCAATATTACATAATAAATTTTTATTTAAAATATTAATTGAAATATATAGTTAAATTAAGACGAATAAATAGTGTAAGAAAATCAATATGGAACAATTTTAAAATAATGGAAGAGTATCATTATTTTACATAAAATACTATATTCTTCGTTATATTTTTTGGGATAAAATTCTTCAATACTACATCAATTGCTCTACTTATTTAATTTACACAATTTATTAACATTTACACTTGCTAACGCATAATTCTGACCATTGCTTATTGTGGCATCGTTTAGGTAGCTAGCATTATATTTCTAGATTCTCCAGTTGGCACTGGGTTCTCATATGGAACAACCTCAGACGCATACTACAGTGATGACATATTACAATCAAAACATGTATATGAATTTTTGAAGAAGGTTAGTGTATTTTAATTATATTAATAATCACTATATTGTAGTTATAAATTTTTGGTGTTTTCTAAAAGATTATCAAATACAGGATTGTTCCTACCATGTAGAAATGCTCTTTTTAGTTTTACATTTTACAATCCATGCATCAAAATAATACTTAGTACGGAGTACTTGATATAAAAACTTGTGTAATATAAAGATGTGGACTGTTTTCCTTAAAGTAACTTATTTACATGAATGCACGCAGACACGCAGTGGCTTTTGGAACATTCTAAATTCAAAACAAATTCTTTGTACATATCAGGGGACTCATAGCAAGATTGTTCCTATTGTTGTCAACGAGATTCTAAATGGTAACGTGTGTTTAGTTTAATTCAGTTCCATTTCAGTTCATTATTATCTATGTATAATCTCTTTTAGAATTGCTTTCAAAAAAAAAAATAAAAAAAAAAAAAAATTCTCTTCTGGAATCATGCAATAATAATAATAATAATAATAATAATAATAATAATAATAATAATAATAATAATAAATCAAGACGAATTCAACAAAATATCAATTAACTATCATCAATTTATTTTAGTATGAAATTGAACCTCCTTAATTTGGCCTACTTATAAGCTAAGTGGATGTGGACTGAACTCTCCTCTTTGGTTGCTCAAACCTATTTTATATTTTTATATATGATCACATGGTATAAGAGACGAGCTTGTGGATCTCTTTCGAGTTGGGTCGGTAATTACTGCTATTATATTCTCCCCTGTCCCAATTTTTTTGCCCCATCGCAAATAATTGGGTCAAATACTCAAACCTCAAAACTTAAACCATAAATTCTCATTTACTAATAATAGCTACTCGTAATTTAGTAATGTGAGGTCTCGTTGGATTCCTCTTATTGTGTATTTTATTAATATCAAATTTTTATAATTTTTTCGTATAAAAATAAAGTTATAAACATTACAAAGTGTGCCTTGAATACCGTGTAAGGTCCAATGCAATGGGGTAAAAATTAAGGACAAAGGGAGTAAAGATTTACCTTCTAATTAGAGAAGGAGAAAGATGTGTATATAAGTGGACCGAACTAGATCTCCTCTGGGTTGTCCAAGTCCATTTAATATTATCTTAAAATTTAACAATCATTTTAAGAATATATGCATGTTAATGTTTACATGCATTGATCATTGTAATTGATGTTTGTTTATTTTGTTTAATGAAGCCCTAAAGACTATAAACAATATTTTCCATTTTTATAAATACAAATACACCATTAATTAAGAACTACTACGTATTGGTTTCAAAAAAAAAAAAAAAAAGAACTACTGCGTATTTATCTAACTATCTGAACTCTAAATTGAATTTGTTTGTCTTGCACGCACTCTTGCATTCTTCTAGCTCTTGTTTTTACATTCGTACTACTGGTTTGTGATGAAGAAAATCCTGAATCCCGAATTATATCTATCTCCATCCTTTATTTTGTAGGGAACAAAAACAGACTCGTACCGAAAATGAATATCAATGTAAGTTCTCAAAACTGATGAATTGATGATGCATGTTTTGGACATGTAAAAAAATAACTTTTATGATTTTATTTTCTCATTTTTGCAATATTTAGTCAAACGATTCAAGAACCAAGTTTTTTCAAAAAAAAAAAAAAAAAAAAAAAAGAATCAAGTTAATACTTTACAGATGAAGGAAATTTCTAATTTTTTTTTTTTTTCAAACTAGCTAGCTTAGATGTAGTGTATGCATAAATATATAATACCAAGATTATTTTTTTTATCACTAATTCAAAGTTTATTTTGATTAAAAATCAATTTGCACATGATATGTCTCGCATTTCTTCATAACAATAATAGTTGATTGTGTCAAAATTGTGTGCAATATTTAATCAATCCGTGGTTTATACACACGGGTGTACAATGCTCATCGTACATCCAGATAAATAAAAAAAAAGCGGAAAGAACATCCTGTGTTTCATAAAGAACATACATGTATTTGACAAAGAACATGTTTGTATTTGACAAAAACATGCATTACCAAAGAACATAAAGATATAATAAAAAGAACGAGATAAAAACTTAATAAAATTTTCTAAAAAATTACATTAACGGAAAAAATTTAGAGGTGATAAAAAATCAAGTAGGACCGGGCCATACCATAATTTCTCGTGCCCAAACTCGTGAAAAAGTAGCGGGTTTTTGGGCTTTTTTCGAGCCTGGTTCGGATTTTAACTAAAAATGCATTGTTAGGCCAATTGGTCTTGGCTGCACTAGAGTGCAGCCAAGATAGCTACAACAAGTGAGGCCCAAAACGCGCGACCCAATAAAAAATGAACATTTAGTTAAAAAATATGAACATGAAAAAAGAAATGAACATTTAATAACAAAAAATGAATATGTAAAAAAAATGAACATTTAATACTTAAAAGTTTACATGTTATAAGGAAATGATCATTTATTAAAAATGAATCTGATTATCATATAATCATAAATTTGCTAGATCACGACCTTAAAAATGAACATTTAGTTAGAAAAATAAACACATAAAAAAACAAGAAAAAAAAGAATATTCAGTAATAAAAATGAATACGTAAAAAAATGAACATTCAGTAATAAAAAGTGAACATGTCAAAAAAAAAAAAAAAAAAAAAGAAGAAGAAATTAACATTTAGTATATTAGAAATGAACCTTTATCATACAACCATAAAATTGGGATTATATACATCGGAAATTCTCCAACTTAAAGGCAAATTCGTTGTAATATCATATACTTTTTCATCACTTCTTACTTGTTTCTTCACTAATTCAGAGTCTTTGTCTTCTACAAATACAATTAATCTGCTCAATAAAATATAACAAATAATCAAAATTCATAATCATCACAACATATGTTCATAATAATTATTTAGAATGTTCATAATATATAATCATCAATACAATAGTTAAAAATATAAATAATTATCACTCTATATGTCATATATTTCATAATCAATAACAGATATGTTCGTAATGAATAATGAAATATATATATTCATAATAAATTTTTCAGATTTTCAACACTATATGTTCAGATAATTTAACTTTCAACGTATTATATTTTACTTTCAACCTAATAAAAATGAACATTTAGTATTAAAAAATTAACACTTATAAAATGAACATGTAACAAAAAGTTATAAACATTTAGGATATTAAAATGAACATGATTTTCATAAAGGTTCAAGTTCATTGTATATAATTATTAATGAAAAATAAAGATAAAATAAATTGTTGAAATATGTTTATTTTTTATGTACTTAATATTCATTTTCGGTGTACTAAATGTTCATTTTTTAAAAGATGTTCATTTTTAAATTCCTACGTGTTCATTTTTTTTTTACAGAAATTATATTCAAGATCAATTGTAAACTCTAAAAAATTGAATATACACCTTAAATCTAATCTTGATTCATCATAGAGAAATGATTATTGATTTGTAACATGATTAGAAATCAAAAGAAAAAAAAAAACAAAAAAGAGAGAGAGAAAGAGAGAGGGGGGGGGGAGAGAGAGAGAATAACTACAAATTAAGCAATACAATTGATATTCATTAACAATTAAGCAATTTAATTGATATTCATCACAAAGTCATAATAATTTCAAACAATCAAACAATAAATAATCATCATGCATGATCAACGAAATCATACAAAATACAATTACAAATTGATAAAATCTAACCTCCAGTGTTTTCTTTGACCTTCAACTTTCTCTCTCCATTTTTTTTCTTTCCTCTTTGATAAAGCAAAATGATTGAATCTGAAACTCATAGATTTAGAAAGAAAGAAGTATACCCATCAAAACACGAATTAGTAACTCAAAAATTTATATAAAGAAGAAGAAAACTTTAAAGATTGAAGGGAAATGAGGTAAAGAGGAGAGAGAAAATGTTAAATTGAGAAGAAAACTGAAGAGAGAGAAAAATAATAGAGCTAAGGAAGAAGAAGAAAGAGAATTAAGATATAAGGAAGAAAAAAAACGTATGTCCATTTTAACGTACTATATGTTCACATTTAATGGTGTTGCAGCTAGCTTGGATGCATTAGAATGCAACCAAGAATTTGCATTTTTAGGCTTGCCCAAACCCACCCTATTTCGGGTCGGGCTGCGAGTCATGCCAATGTTGATCACCTCTTTAAAAATCTTTACCAAAGATTTTATTTCCCAAAAAATAGTTTTCAATCTCTCAAAAAAAAAAAAAATCAACTTCCCATAATAATTTAGTTTTTCTGCTCTAATATTATTTTCAATTAAAAATAATTTAAGATTTCAATATCAAATTTCAAAATGAACATAATTTATATTGGAAAGTACATATAGTTAATACCTAAATAACATACTGATCAAACTCAAAAAACATACAATAATAAAAGTTATCTAAATATGACATAAGGTAATAATAATATAATTTGGGCGTCACTACGACCTTAAAGAACATACACAAATAAATAACATAAGTTATAGGACATTTTGTGAGAAACTACCTTTTAAAGCATTTTTTTTGTGAGAAACTATCTTATAAAAAAAATGTTGTAAAAAACTACCTCATAAAAGCTAAATGTTGTAAGATACTACCCTTGGTCGGAGAGTGAGAGTTGACTTAATTTTCCGGCGTTGACCTAGTCATGTGTCGGTCACGTGACGTTTAATTCATCTTTCCCCATTCCCCCCCCTAATTTTCCCCAAGCCTATCCATATAATACCCAAGATGAATTAAATGTCATGTGACCGGCACATGACTTGGTCAACACCGGAAAAATTTAGTCAACTCTCACTTTCCGACCAAGGGTAGTATCTTACAACATTTAGCTTTTATAAGGTAGTTTATTACAACATTTTTTTAATAAGGTAGTTTCTCGCAAAAAAATGTTTTAAAAGGTAGTTTCTCACAAAATGTCCTAAGTTATAATGTAAAGAACATATAATTATACTAAAAGAACACAATGTTCTTTGTCAAATATAGATATGTTTTTTATCAAACATTGTATGTTCTTTCCGTCTTTTTTTTTGTTTACCCGGGTGCACCATGGTGTATTATCTAATTTTCAATTTTTAATAGTGTGATTATTCTATGCAAAACAAGATTGTGATTATTCAATTTAATTCTTTCAAAAAAAAAAGATTAATTTAATTTAAGAACATAAAATTAGTAGTTTTAAAAAATTATGATATTAGTTTATACTATAATTTTGTACTGTTGACAAAACTTTTAATTTTAATTATTTGTTGAAACTTTTGTTTTCCCAAACCTTAGATTATATATTCTAATAATACTCTGTATAAAAAAATAATTTCCTTAGTGATTGTTAGGTAATGAAATACTCCATAACAGACATGTTTTGAATTATTATATATCAAAATATTATTAGATTCAATGGTGAAATGATGATTTAATATATGTTAGTTTACAAATTATCGATACAGAAAAGAATTTTTTTTTTCAAGTCATTCTGGTTTTTGTTATTATTTCATAGCTTTGTTTTTGTTTATTGATTATATTTTTTCGTCCATATAATATTTATGGGACTTAGGGATACACACTAGGGAACCCAGTTACAGATAATCACGTAAGTAAAAATGCAGGACCAGAGTACATGCATCATGTATCACTACTTTCTGATAAGCTTTATGAGGTAATTATTATTATTATTATTATTATTATTATTATTATTAATTTTTTTTTTTTTTTTTTTTTTACCATCAATTTTAATTTTCTGATAAGTGTAAGTAGGGATTTTTGATACATACCCATGCTATATGAACATTGTACAACACGAGGTATTTGTAGTGTTTTAGGTACTCTAAGCGGAATTTCATGAATCTCATTCATACGCACCTAAACAGGATCTCATGCATACACAAATAAAGGATCACATAATAGTTTAGAATTAACCTTTGATGCGTGAATTCCCAGGCTTTCTTCTATCTTCTTGCGGAGATTAGAGCCCCAATTGTTGCTCCTCTAATATTGGTCCACAAGTGTAGATCGAACCTCCACCAATGCTAGTTGGACGGGAGAGATTAATCTCCTCTTCTATGGAGAACTTCTAACCGGTTGTAGAGAGAGAGGAAGGGAAAAATATTACGTTGTTTCTTTTGAGAGATGAACGTCTGTGCTATTTTTCCCCAAGCCCTTTATTATATATAATCATATTATCTAATTAGGGCAAGACTTATTCCTATCTTACTCCTTATGGCCAGTCTTTCACTAAGCCCAACTTTTGGACTCGGTATTCATGTTCGACCTAGCACTGTAACGTGTGACCTCATAGGATCCATTTAGTTGGCATTGGTTTAACCCAATGATCAATATTGGTCTCTAGCAAGACGTAAAGACGACCCAACTAAACGAACTTATTATCTCCATAATACGATCCATATTATATTAGTAATTGCACGAGAGTCGAGGACACATTTCCTTCAATCTCCCACTTGTCTGAGACAAGCGTGCAATCTTCAAATTCCTTAAGTCTCTTAGTGTCCAATTTGATGGTATGATTACATTTCTATGTCATCCATACTAACGTTCAAATTATTTCTTGAAATCCGAGTTCGAATTGATAAACAAATGATTATCTAGTAATCCATTTGAGCACGGCCATGCATTTCCAATCCATACTCTTCAAGAGGCCAAGACACCCATCCTATCTAACATAGGAGGACCTATTCAATCTTGTGGCAACCAAAACTCCCACTCAACTTTTAGTATAACCCGAATGTTGCCTTTATAGCCCCCTTTTACGGCATGGCGTTTGATAACATCAAAGTTACACTAATCATTGAGCTAAGTAGTGCTCCACTCATGTCTTAGGAATCCAATAACATAATTGCGAAGTTTTCCAAAATTTCTAAGTAGGTCAGTTCGATCTGTATCAACCATACAAATCCATATAATTGACTGAACATCTCTATGTTCCCATAGCCCATGAAACTGCGCTATCAATCAATCTTATATGCTAATCCTTTTCAATAAGTCGTTTATGTCCAGTTTAACGACTTGGATTAGGAACTTAAATATTCCATGAATTCAGTTCACTTATGGGGTTTCATTCATCAAATCACACATTTGACAAACCCATTGAAATTCATAAAATATATTGGACATTTTATTTAATACTAAACCAGGATTAAATAAGTATGAAACTTTGTTTCACATTGATAAACATAGGGAGAACACAATTGATAGTTTTGCAACTGTGTCCAATATACAATCAAAGCTATCTGATATGTTCAATTTCTATTGAACCTAATATGACTTTCATATTTAGGCTTCTGAAATAGTTTAGTTAACAGATTTTGAGACATTCTCATCCATATGAACTTTGCGACCTTTTCTTTTATGATAGTTTATCTCCATATACTTAGACATTGCCTTTTGTTCTTCTCCAAGTACTTCAGGAAACTCTTAATTCTATAATTTCCAATATCACATATCAAAATTCGATTTGAAAATTGCATACATGCATCTAATGAGTATAATGCGTAGCCTTTATGACGAATCCTTTGCAATTGCACAAGGAATGTCACTCATTCGCTAAATCTCATCAGTCCTTGCTTTGCACTGAGTCTTGATAAGCAATGTGCTATGCCACATGGGAGTGAAACCTCCTTTGGAGTTTTCATGCTTGAACGTAGAGAGAACCTCATCTATATAAGTTTCTCAATCAAGTTCAATCATCTTCCAAGACCAATCTCAATAAATCTTGATTCCCAAGATGTACTCATTTAAACCTTCAAGGTCTTTCATACAATAACAATTCATTAGCCATTACTTGACCTATTCAAGTATGGAAACATCGTATCTTGTAAGAAGTATGTCGTCTACATACAAAACCAAGAAGACTACATAGCTCCCACTAAACTTCTTGTATGTACAGGCTTCTTCATTTATAAGACTATCAACCAATTTGATTAACTTAGTAAATCGAAGATTTTGCTCCATGATGCTTATTTCAATCCACTAATGGACTTATGAAACTTACATGCATTTCTAGGACTTCCTGGTTCTTCAAAACGTTAATGTGTGTATCACATACACATTCCCTTTCATGAACAATTTCAGGAAAGTGTTTTGAACTCCATCAACTATATCACATAGAGTTGAAATCACTAGAAGAGTCTGAATAGATATAAGCAATATTAGCAACGAAAGATTTCACCATAGTCAATACTATGAATTCGTTAAATCCTTTAGTGACTAATCAATGCTTGGAAAAAAATTTCCTTCCTTGTCCACTCTTTGCATTCAATGGTTCTCTCCCAATTCATGCAAATCAACCAAGTGTCTCACACTCAATTTTTCAGACATGGAAACCATTTCAGATTTTCATTGTACTAAGCTATTTTGTGACTCGTCAAATCTTACATTCAAAAATCAATATTTTAGAATTTCTTAACCATCGAACTTTTTTCTCTGGCTTAGATTTACTAGACTTTGTGGGTTTATGCGCAACAAGTGAAAACTTATTTTCAATGAAGAACAACATAAGAAGGGTATACATGGAATGTGGCCCTTGACACATGGTTACGTATCCCATTACATTAATGAGACCACGTGTTGTTGTCATTAACATGGTGTGAATCATGCTCATTTTTTAGTTCTCTCGAACACCTTCGAGACTTATACTCCCACTTGCCTTATCTCGAACACCTTCGAGACTTATACTCCCACTTGCCTTATGAAAAGGGCCAATTTTCATAGGGTATGTGGCTCTTCTCGACCTTTTCGAGAATTACTCCCACTTGCCTTTTAGAAATGACACCTTTTTTTTTCAAAAAGGCACCAATTTAAAGCAACAAACAATTTGTCCTCAAAACATTTCGTGGTTGAAGTACCCTTGTACTTAGCTTTAGAATTCAACATCGCATTAAACAATTTAATACAAGTTTCTTTTTATTAAATTTGTAGAAAAACAAAATAAGAACTTCTCTTATCCATATCTTATATGATGTTTTATCTACATTGTGATTTGACGCAGTCCTAATTAGTGTAAAAAGCTCATTTTAAAAGTGTATCCTTAGAACTATTGTTTGGAAGATAGGTACAGTTCACCATGAATTATGCTATATCTTATATAGTTTAATTCCTCCATTTGAAAAACATTTTCTTTTAGTGGAGTAGGTTGTAAACTAATTTTACAATCCTTGGGATGATCATCAAGTTCTTGGCTCAAATGCTCATCACTACGATCACATCATAAATGCTTTTGAATTCTTTCCAAGTCAACAATTTGACTCAAAAGTAAACTGTTACGATCATATCGCAATGTTTGCCAAGTCTCTTTTATTATTCTTTTGAACCTTATTGAACTCCTTCAAAATATTCAGATTCATGCTTCATGTAAGCATGTGTGATCATATTCAAATGAAGTGTCCATGTTCATCTCTAGTCTGTGAACCTTAGGTTTCTTAATTACATCGTTATGTATTCAACCATGTGTTCACGTCACCTTTTCTCCAAAAGATAAACTTTTCAATCATCAAACTACAATAAGATTTGCATGCATCAATGGATTCATAATCTTATGATGTTAGAAGTCCATCCCTTCGGAGCTTCCGTATGCAATTCTATTCGTATTTTGATCAAATTGACATTACTAGAAGTGATTCATACATAGAAATGGTTCATCTATATCTAACATATAGAACTCTTTAACCTATTTAGCATTGCAAAACATCCCTTGATTCAACTAAGCACATAATAACATTTGTTCGATGTGTTGAATCTTTGACATTCAGTGATAACTGCAATGGAATGATGTTTTGATTATAGCAAGAATATAATAACTATTATTTATGTCAATGCTAAACTATATATAGTTAAGTGAAATGTAAAGTCATACATGTAAAACAACATTTGTTTCTCACATTGTAGATTTACTTTTCCCTTATCCAAGTTTCAACTCTTTAACTCAACCTCATTCTTCAACAAGAGAGTTAATCTTGACATCACATGTCAAATAAGTAGATTTTTGCTAAATAAATTTCTATAACTACTTGATGTGGAACATTTCCATTCTTTACCTTCCAACTGTACTTTATGGGGTAGTTTTCAATCTCTTGGAGCCAGTCCTCAATTTAAACATTTGCTATTCATAATAACAGTTGACAATTTAGTAGCTTTGTGATTAAGAATTGACAACTTATTTGTCTTTTCTTTATCCTTTAGCTTTTCTTGTAGTCCCCATCCTTCTTAACCCTTTCTCATTTGAACCATTTAGAACATTTCTTTCAAGCTCAAAGTGATACTATGCTCAACTACTTTAAACATCTTACATAATTTTGCCAAAACCATTCAACACAATTCATGTTGGAGTTTAATCTTGTATTTAACACCGCATGGAATAAGTGATGAATGATGTCACTTAAATTAGTCAACATTTGACAGTATGAAAATCCAAGTCATTCACCATGTTCAATCATATTGATCAAGGAAAAATATTGGGTTCTTCATGTGAGTCGCACTCATGTTGTCTTTAGAGGTCTTGTACCTCTCCATCGAGTCCAATCACTTGAAACGTTTTCAAAATGAGTCAATGGTGGAGCCATTGAATTATTCAAACCTTTTGAGTTCTTGGAAGCTATCATTAGACATGTGACTTTATTAAATAGGTTTTTAACACTCCTTTTAGCCTTTAAAACCCTTTTAGCAAAGCATGGATAATGGTTTACGGATACTCTTTTAGTTTTTAGAACGTTTCTCAATATTTCTTTCAATCGAGGAGATATTCATAACACAAAAATTAATCAATAAAGACATAATATTTGCAAATAAATACAAAGTTCAACTATGTTTATCTAAGTAGTTTATAATTCAAACATCCTTTGAAATCATTTTAGCTACTTTACACTATATTCATTTTGTGTCCCTTCATGAATAACGTGATTCCAAGATCCTATCCCTATGTAGCATTAAGCGGACAGAGGCCCTTCCTTAAGGTTACATTTTCAAGGTAAGTAAACTCCTTTACTAATTACAACTTCTTGTAATTCTTGGTTGGATAGATAACATCACATGTTCAACTATCCCCTTGCTTCAAAATCCAAAACGCTTTTGATGATTTTGTTGAGGGTGACCAAATTAAGTGTGCAAAATTTGCAATTTCACCTTACCTCCCAAGATTAATAATAATTCCCTGCGGAGGCATGACCCATTACTATTAATCAAGGGTTTAATAAGTACTTTATATTTGGAAAAGCGAGCCTCAATATTTGTGGGACTTAAGTTTATTATGTTGTTATAAATTAGTGAACTCTAGAGCATTTGATAACAACATTCAATAACCTTATAAACATTTTAAGAATAATAATAAAATGAATAAAATTAAATATTAGCTAGTATGGCCCCTAATCCTAAGAACTAAGCTTGATTAGGCACTTCCTTGAACTCTTCATGGATCTCCATCCATCTTTATCATGGGCCTTCTCATCTTGGGCTCTTCTTTGGATTAATCAAGTATTTAAATAATTAAACTAATTCATAATTAAAATAAATTACAAAAATACTTAACGATACGCAGATCGTATTTAAATTACAAAAATACACAACGATACGCAGATCGTATTTTCTAATTTAAACTTTGGGCCATACTAGTCATTTATAGCAATAATAATATATCATATATAACATACAACTGCCACATGATAAATCACATAGCATACTTTGCCTAAATTAAAATATCAGATATTCTTAATTAAGGCAACGTATATTTCAAAATATCACATATTTTTAGGACACGATTAGATAATATCTCTATATTATTCATTACCATAATCAAAATATCATATATTTAAATTAGGAATGAGATGAAATCAAATAAATATATAATCTAAGAAAATAAATCACATTTATATTCTAGGATTATCTTAACCAATTTAAAATTTCATCCTAATCATTAGTTAACCATCTAATTTTAATTTGATTAAAAAAATCAAATTATGGATAATCACATAAACCAATTCAAATAACCATAATTGGAATTGCTCATTTATCTCCTTGAAAACAGATTTTCAAACATTTATCCATAATTAAATTTAAATCCATAATTTAAAATTAATTAAAATACTTTAATTTTATCCAATTTTTTTTTTAATCAGAAACAAGGGACTGCCGTGGCTTGAACAGGATGCCCAGCCACGGCACCGCCGCCGCAGCAGCCTGCCACCGCAGCCAAGCAGTCGCCAGCCACGGCAGCACTGGCTGGCGTACCAGCCCAGCACACCTGGCAGCTAGTGCAGTGGCTGGAACTGTGCAACAGTTGCACGTTTCAGCCACTGCCGCCACTGCCCTCCCCTGAAAACTCCGCCCAGCTCCCTTGCGCCCCTGACGACCACCGGAGCAGCCACGGTGGACCACCGACGGGCGAATCTGCCACCCAGCCGTGGCTGCTCCCACTCAACTTCTTAAATTTTTTTTTTGAGTTAAATTAATTCCACAACTCTTGCAAAATTAATTTGGTGATCTAATTAAATTAAACATAAACTCCTTTATGCATAATTTCAGAAAATTAATATAAAATCTCCATTTTAAATAATATAGGGATTTTGATAAAATTTGATTTCTAATTCATATAAAACTCTTTTACATTAATTAATTAATCACACTAAAAACCCTTTTTAAGTATGAGAAATTAAATCAAATAATATGAAATTAACACATTAGTTTTCGAAATTAGGGTTCATAACACAACAAAAATCAGAAAATTAATTAATGCATTTAGGGCTAAAAAATTCGTCTAGGGTTAATAAAAAAAATTTAGCAATTAAATATACATTTAATCAATTCCAATCAATCAAAATCATATTTTAATTGGGTTATTCGATCCATAATTCAATTCCTCCCCTTAATCAAATTAAAATTAACATAAAATACATCAAAATAATCATATTATTGTGACCAATAAATTATATGCAAGGGGCTAACTGATACCACTGTAGTGTTTTAGGTACTCTAAGCGGAATTTCATGAATCTCATTCATACGCACCTAAACAGGATCTCATGCATATACAAATAAAGGATCACATAATAGTTTAGAATTAACCTTTGTTGCGTGAATTCCCAGGCTTTCTTCTATCTTCTTGCGGAGATTAGAGCCCCAATTGTTGCTCCTCTAATATTAGTCCACAAGTGTAGATCGAACCTCCACCAATGCTAGTTGGACGGGAGAGACTAATCTCCTCTTCTATGGAGAACTTCTAACCGGTTGTAGAGAGAGAGGAAGGGAAAAATATTACGTTGTTTCTTTTGAGAGATGAACGTCTGTGCTATTTTTCCCCAAGCCCTTTATTATATATAATCATATTATCTAATTAGGGCAAGACTTATTCCTATCTTACTCCTTATGGCCAGTCTTTCACTAAGCCCAACTTTTGGACTCGGTATTCATGTTCGACCTAGCACTGTAACGTGTGACCTCATAGGATCCATTTAGTTGGCATTGGTTTAACCCAATGATCAATATTGGTCTCTAGCAAGACGTAAAGACGACCCAACTAAACGAACTTATTATCTCCATAATAGGATCCATATTATATTAGTAATTGCACGAGAGTCGAGGACACATTTCCTTCAGTATTTTGGTCATTTTCTGTTAAACTTTTAATTTCAATGGTAACATTAGACATTTGGTAATTAATCGGTATCATTGGAGTACGTATTAATGGTAATATCAGATACCACATTAGTATTTTCATCTCTCGTCTCTAAAGTTTGTTCTTGTTTGAAATTTCTTTGGAAGAAGACTAAGGGCCTGTTCACATTTACTTAATTTCAGTTCAGTTCAGTTCAGCTCCAATCAGTTTAGTTCAGTTCAGTTCAGCTCTTAATTTCCCCCTCTCATAAAATGTTCATTTCAGCTTAGTTCAGTTCAATTCAGTTCAGTTCAGCTCCAATCAGTTCAGTTCAACTCAGTTCAGTAAATGTGAACATGCCCTTAGGGTCTGTTCTCATACGTTTATTTTCAGTTCATTTCAGTTCAGCTCTTAATTTCCTTCCTTATAAAATATACATATTGTCGTATACACTAATTTGTGTACTTTATTTTGTCGATTTATTCTATAGTCTGCCAAAACAAATTGCAACAGTGAATTTGCAAATATAGATGCTAACAATACAAAGTGCTTGGAGTCAGTTCAAGCTATATCGGAAGTAAGTCATAAAAATCTTAATTATGTTTTAAACAACCTTTAATCTTTAAATAATTAATTTACTAATCACGCATCCTTTATTTCCTTATTACTTGCTTCTTATTTTCTTAAGCTATTTTAGCTAATGATTTAGTACGTACTAATACGTATATATGCAGGAAAGCGATCTCATTTGCTCACCGCATATCTTAGAACATAAGTGCATGATGTATCTCCTAAGCCCAAAAAAACAGGTTCCAACACCATATTATTCAAACGATGATCCTCAAAATTTTCTCCGTGGCAAACAAAAATGTCGGGTGATTATTCTTATCGTTCTTTGTATATATCTTTAAATTGTATACTACTTTTGTTTGTGTTTTATCTTAACGTTTACTATTTGCACAAATATTAAGAATAAGATAGTGAGTGTTGGTTGATATAATTGAAAGTGTGTAAAAAATTGGACGAGTGTAAGGAAAAAAAAAATTTATATAGTAAAAGAAAGTGGATATTGTTGTGCATAGAATAAAAGGTGTTTGCCAAAGATAGAATGAATCAAATTGTTACAAGCTAACCAAAATGGAAAGTGTCAGAAAATCAATTTGATAAAAAACTTAGGCTGATGGTTGAAATCTATTATCGATTTATTTAATCTATCATGCCCCCTCAGTCGAGACCCCTTTGTGCTTGAAATGTATACATAGCGCAAAGTGTTCCACTTGAAAATGGGGGTGGATGAGATTTTTTTTTTTTGAATTCATGACCTTTGTATCACGCTAACTCTTGATACCATGTTGAAGGACCATACCAACATGTGAATTGAAGTTTTGCAATCAAAAAGAAATTTGTATGGAATGTAGTAGTATTCTGTTTGTAGTTTGGTTTAGCTATGATGGTTTACACTTTTCCTTGATTATGCTAGCTTTAACGTATCAACCTTTTCTTTTTACCCTGTTTATGAATAATAGAATACTCATTACTTGCTCTCCTACCCATGGGCAAATGATATACAAGTCCAAGAGGCACTTCACATTCGAGAGGTACGTATGCTTTCAACTTTCAACGTTTGATATGAATATTACAAGTAACAACCTTTAGCATAATTAAAAACACAAACACATCAAATTATTGCCTTATTGGTGTTAATTGGTATGTTACAATCGATCTTAGATATATTGTAGTATGGTATAGGAAAAACAAAGACTAATAATCCAAAACAATTAGGAGGAGGTGTTGCAATCTTTGAAACAATTAGGAGTTATTGCAAAATTGTTGGAACATTTATGGAATAATAAATGGAGCTTATGAATCATATATGAAGTTTATATTATACTAAGAGTTGAGGATGATTAGTATTATGATTATACTTAGAGGTATGGCAAAGCAAGATGTATAAAAGTGAAAATACAAGGCAAACTTGACTATTTTGTGCTTCGCCTTGGATGACAGGACAAGGGCGCCCTGTAAGACAATCACGAATAAAGATAGTCACTTAGCTCAATTTCATTTAGATGTTGCTCGCGCCCAACCAAGCGCCCATGCTTGGTCTGCTTGAGCGAAGGGGGCTTTGTCAGTTTTTATATGTTTTCCAAAAGTGCTTTGCGCGCCTGATCAGGTACCCTTGCCTGGTCTGACTGAACGAAGTTCAAAACTAACAATTTTTATAGTTTTTGAACGGATTGCTTTGTGAACAGACACATCTGTTGGAATCAAATTGCTTTTCATATGAACACTATAAATAGGAGTTTATATGACATGCATGGTTGATGAGAGAAGTATTACAACATCATACTTGCTTACTTTGAGAGAAAAACCTGTAGTAATTTTCTTAGAGTAAAAATAAACACATTTCTACATAAACTTTGTTGAATTAGTTTTGCAGGAACAAGCAAAACTATTTGGTTTTTCATTGTATCCCAATAGTTTTATCGTGTAACTCGATTGTTCCAAAGAGAGTCAATAAATAACTATTACGAAAGCGTTTATCACGTGCCTTGAAGAATTTATCCGATCTCTCTGTACATCAATTTTCATTGTTTTTCTAACACAGATGATTTGGAAATAACCAAAGGTTTATAAACTATTAACTCCCAGCTATTTTATTGACGAAAAAAAAATCTAGATCATAGCTTTTTTAGGTGATTATTAATTTTCTCTTTTAATTTTAACAATGTGAGACACTTAAATTCAACAATATAATTGTAAGTATTGATTTCGGGATTTTTTAATATTCGGAGAAAACTGTAATGTATATTTTGTAATCTATGTTGGAATAATTATTTTAAAATAAAACAATAGAAAGTTTTGATCGCAATGTACAAATGACAAGTACAGTCAATCATTTTTTAGTGCAAGAGTAAGATACGATTCTCTTCGCATTATTAATATCATTTAAAAATAATTTAATTTTATTAAATATTATGTTAGTTTAATAAAAATTATTTTAGTTCTGTAAAAAAAAGTTCAACAAATAAAGTTAAGCTCGGCAAAAGTAATGAACAAATATAATAGAACTAACCAGGAGAAAAAAGTTGTAGGGCCTGTTCACATTTACTGAATTGGGTTGAACTGAATTGAACTGATTGGAGCCGAACTGCACTGAACTAATTGAAGCTGAACTGCACTGAATTGATTGAAGCTGAACTGAACTGAGCTGAAATGAATATTTTATGAGAGAGGAAAATTAGGAACTGAATTGAACTGAACTGATTGGAGCTGAACTGAACTGAAATTTAATAAATGTGAACAGACCCTAATCAGTCTAGTTCAATTCAACTCCAATCAGTTCAGTTCAGCTCTAATCAGTTCAATTTAGTTAAGCTCCTAATTTCACTCTCTCATAAAATATTAATTTCAGCTCAGTTTGGTTTAGTTTAGCTCCAATCAGTTCAGTTCAATTTAGCTCCAATCAGTTCAGTTCAGTTCAATTCACTTCAGTAAATATGTCCTTAAATATTTAAAATAATTTAAATTCAACAAAAATAGTTAAATAAGAGAGGTATAAATTCTTATTTCAATTCATTTTGATTTTGATTTTGAATTTTAATTGTATAATGCTCCGTAGATTTTTGAATTAAATTACCTATAAGTTGTATAACCTAACTATTTTATATTAACCAGGGAATGGTTGATTATTGGGTTAGATGCAATCGCAGCTTATCCACGTATACGATTGGTGTTCAAAGCAGTAAAAGCTATCATAAAAGTTTTGCAAAATACTTTCTTTGAGCGCTGATATACAGGTTAGTGCGTCTTTTAATCAGTGGCGGATCCAAAATTTTCTAACTGGTGAATCACCATCAATAATTAATCACTTGTTTCAATTCAAAAATTATACTTCGTATATATATATAAAAATTATACGAAAAGACACACCAGCAATGACATGTGTCATCTCCTGGTGTATCCTTAATTATTATTATTTTTTTATATAAAAAAATCTATTAATTAAGGAAACAAATCAATTTCAAAAATAATATTATTTGTTGTACATATTCCATATTAATGTAGTATATTTAAAATAAAAAGATTTCACAAGTAATTTTTCTAAAATAGAAATTTGGACAACTATAAACCAAAAATTATATTCTTAAAAATATTTTGTGATCTGCTTTACACTATATATAAAAAAAATTGCTCGGATTTTTTGCCTACTTTTATTTTTAATTGTGTATTAGAAGCTACAATTAAAATTTAACATATCACATACTTTTATTATTCCTCGACTAATTTATGATTATAATATTCATCTATTAATAATCTATAACGATCACCGTGCATGGCACGAGATCTAACCTAGTGTGTGTGTGTGTGTGTATATCACCAAAATGATTTCAATCCAAAAATAGGACATAAAAATCCATACTACAATAGTACTTAAAAATTCAATCTTACAAGTCGAAAGTATATACTCCAAATAAATAACATGTTACAAACAAATGGTATTATAAATTTATTACATTAAATTAACTTTTTGATTTCTTAATTTACTTAATTGATAAGTTTTGTGGGAAAATATTAAAATTGGTTGCATAAATATAGTATAAATAGATACAAGAGTTATCAAAAACTTATACGGAGTACCAAATAAAAAAAAGTGAAAAACTTAAGATACCTGTTATTTATTTTAACAGGTCTCTTTAATGAAAAAAGAAAGCAGCGCAACAAATATTCTATGTTAGCAGAAAATAGACTTGTTATCTAGATAACAGGTCTCTTTGATATTTAAAAAAATCTGACAAAGTGCTAACTCAGGTGGGCGGTAGCAATAGCAGCAGCAAAGAGACCGCCTATTTATAATAGGTGGTCTCTTTGATATTTTTTAAAAATAAATTATTTTTTTTAGCTGGTGAGTCACGTGACTCACCATGCACATGAATAGATCCGCTCCTGCTTTTAATGCTTTTTTTTTGTGCAGTGGTTACAAAGTCAAAAGGGCAGATTATGAGAAAAAGTTAATTATTATTGAATTGAAATCATTTTTACTATTTTAACTTTTAAGTGTATAATCTACTTATCCACTAAAATTAAATTTCTTATAGAAACCAAAATAATATAAAAGCCTTTTGAAATAGATACGAATTACTTGCTATAATCTACTTGAAAAGACCGATTTGGAAGATATCCTTTAATTATATTGAATTGAACAAAAAGGAATACGGAGTAATTTAAAGAAAATGGATTAAACTTGAGAATTTTCCAAACAACTTTTTAATTTTATTTTTGGTTTTGGACATGAATTTCTTGTGTGCATTATAGTGGAGACCAAGATAAATCAATATCATATGTGGAATCACAAGATTGGATCAAGCAATTAGATCTCTCAACGAACATGCATTGGAGACCATGGTTCGTTCATGGACAAGTAGCAGGGTGAGTTTCTTCATCTTTAAATCTCCTACTCTCCAAATTGTAACCTATGGATTATTATATATACTACATATATTACTTCTTCATATTATTTGCAATGATTAAATTTTTCACATACATTTTATGTTAAACCGTTACAAATAATATGTCACGAAGATAATAATTTATATTAAATATATTATTATTGAATATTTTAATTAGGGTAGTAGTGTAGTACGACAAATGTACGTCGTATAATGTATTTTGCAAAACTAATTGTATTTTACAGAGTGTTATATTATTATGAAATAATTCATATTAGGAATTTATGCCAACATTAATTAACGAAACTCTTGATGAGTTTTAATTTTAAAAACGGTATGGGGCATAAGTAGGAATGTCAGTGGAGCGGATCAAGTAGGAGATCTGCCCCATCCCCGCTAGGCATAAGTAGGGATGTCAGGGGATGGGTCTTGATTTGGCGGGTGCTGGGGCGGGATGGCGATAAAAAATCATATGGGTGATGGGGCGGGGATGGAATTTACATTGTACCCGCCCCATCCCCGCCCTGCCCCACTTCATACCCGCCTCATCCCCACCTCATACCCGTCGCCCAAACCCGTTTTTCTTGTAGTGAATATTAACAATAATTTTTTTTTTCTTGTAATCTATATTAATTATGTTGGATTGTGTATTGGGAGGTGGGGATTAGGCGGGTCTGAGATGGGGATTAAGTGAGGATGAATATCCAAGTGGAGGTGGGACGAGGATGATTTTAGAATTGTATTCGCTGGGGATGAATTTTGGATCCGCCGTGAGGATGAGGTTGGGGATGGTAATAGGGATGGGGATGGGAAGGCCAATATCCACCCCACCCCGCCCCATTGACATCCCTAGGCATAAGTTCATAACTCATAGTTACGTTTACATGGCCATCCTTTATTATCAAAACTAATCATCTTTAAATTATTTTGCAGATATGTTACGGAATATTTACGCTTTCCTTATCGTTTAACGTTTTCTACAATTAAGGTAATTGTATTTATGTTACTAGTACTTTTATAACCTATATACTATATGTAGAACTAGATTTGGCAATCCCGACCCGATCAAATCGAAAGTGGAGTATACTCGACTATACCCGATTCAAATTGACTCAATACCCAAAGTGACCCGACCCGAAACCAAAAGTGACCTAACACGACTATACCCGACTCAAAATTGACCCAATACCCAAAGTGACCCGACCCAAAGTTGATCCAAAACCCAAAGAGACATGACCCAATTCAAACCTGATTTAACTAACCTGAACAAATTTGTCATCCAAAGTCATTTGAACAATAATTACCTCATTATTATACTTGAAATGACTAGAACCAAAAATAATTGATACCTAAAATAATGTAGCTGATTTAGGGCTTAGTATTTGGCCCAAGCATATATTTATCGATGGAAAAATTACCCGAATTTGAATAATCCGACCTTTGCCTCAACTGCCTAAAAATAATCCAACCTTTCGATTCTTTTTTAATAATATGACCTTTGATGCCAATCCGCCGACCGCTCTCCCGGCTCCTCCTTCAACCACTGACTCGCCTCCCCCGAACCACCAACCACCCTTGAAACCCTTCCTTGTCCGATCTCGAACTCCCTTCCTTTCCCTAACACATTTCCTATTGATCGGCCCCCTCCTCTTCCCCTGTACTTTTTCCGGCCCTTTCCCTTTCCCTTCCCCTTTCCCTGATTTTGTCCCCTCCCCTTCCCACGCCTTGATTTCTGTAATAAACTAATAGTATTGATGGTGTAAAGGCGATGGAAGAAGACAGGGGAGAGCGTGGAGACCGGTGTGGGGGAGTTGGGTCTGGGCATGACAAGGCTGGCAACCGATCTAGGTTGATGGTGGGTAGGGAGGTGGTTGGGGATGATGGTAGTTTTAATTATAATGTTAATGAATGTTATTTGTTAATTAGGATTTAGGATTAGTGATAATTTCCTTTAAAAAAATAAAAATTAAAATAAAAATTAAAAGATTTTTAACAATCACATTTTGATAAGTGTAAGAAAAAATTCAAAGATTAAAAAAAAATTTACCTACTCAATCGGTCACCACTTGGGACCATTTGAATGGATTGACATTAAAGGTCGAATTATTAAAAAATAATCAAAAGGTGGGATTATGTTGGGCGGATGAGGCAAAGGTTGAATTATTTCAGACAATTTTTCCTTCATCGAAAATAATCTAAAACAAATCATTATTTTTTTTTCCTTACCTTTTACTTGAAATTAATTTTATAATGTGCATGTTTTGAGTATTCATTATTGCTGTTTTTTCCAGGCCATTTGAGTTAAAACATATTGGTGAAAGATTGAAAATTAACAAACTTACAACAGATCCCATAATATACTAGAGTTGTGACCATAGATTTAGAAAAGACTAACTTAAACTTAAGAGGGTAGGTTTTTTTTTCCCTTTTTTTTAAAAAAAAAAATCTTAGAGTAAGTAAATGTTTGAACTTATAAATTAAGATGTAAATTGAGGTTCCAATGAATAATTGTAGCACCATATTGTGATCGAGCATCACACTACTGACCTGATCTGAAATAAACCGACATCTGAATTAAGTAGCACCATATTTTTTAAAATCTTAGTGTAAGTAGATGTTTGAACTTATAAATAAAGATGTAAATTGAGGTTCCAATAAATCATTGTAACACCATATTGTGATCGAGCATCACACTATTGACCTGATCCGAACTGAACCGCCAACTAAATTGGAAACAAGTTCCGACCCGAAGTGCTCCGAAATTGACCTAATCAAAACTCACCTAAAATGTTGACCATATAACCCATCTGACCCGATTATCTGTTGACCCAAATTGACTCAACATGTAACCAATCTGAATATAATTTGTTGAACCAAAATTAGCCTAATCTAAAATGACCCTACCATAACGACCCATTTATCAAGTTATGCAGTACTAATTACTTTTTGTGTAAAACTTTACCTTGTGTGTGTCTGTTAGTAATATATAAAGTAATTAAGTTGTTTACAATTACAAAATCAATGCGTTTGAGTGTGGTTAGCATACCATGTTGCCGCTTGTAAAAGAATAGAATAACCCCTATAAAACTGATCAAGTAACTCATGTAATACTTAGCGAGTAACCTCTATAACACTGACAAAATAACCCTTGTAACACTAACCAAGTAACTCCTAAAACACTAATGAAGTAACCCCATGATGACTTGTTACACGGTTATGTGGCCAGCAATACATAAAAGTTGGTGTAACATTTTTAGTTTTGTGCAGGGAGGAGGCCACACTGCGCCAGAGTATAAGCCTCAAGAATCGCTTGCCATGATTGAGAGGTGGCTCGGATTGAACTCGTTATAGTATCACCTTAAATTTAAGGAAAATTTATCAATCGTAGCCAATTTAACTTTGTATGTTACAAATTGTGGTACAACCATTTAAAAAGTTTTTTGCAAATTGCAGCCCAATGGTGCTGCTTGTAGACATCTACTTTTGGCCTTCTGTCCCAACGAAGTGCAATGACGATAAATAAAACCATCTTCGTGTTGGATTAACGTGAAGAACACTTATGGATAACAAATTGAATAGCAAGAACATAAAAATAAGCTAGCCTAACCCAAAAACAAAAGCGTTAAGGTCCAATCAACTAAGTGCGATTATAATTAGGCTTAAGCCCGAGCTTAAACCCTAAAAATGACAGATTTAGAGGCGCCTAGGTTAAAATTAATGCTACCAAAGATAATCCACGCGCATCTCAATGAGTTGTGTTGGTATTGCCGCGCAACTCACAAGGTTGCGCGCAACACCCGGCGCAACTACTAGTGATGCGCTTACAGAAGATTCAGAATTTCATAAAAATATGAAATTGGATCTTACCATAATACCACGCACAAGACAATCAGTTGCGCTGCCTATAGCAGCGCAACTAATCCACTTGCGCTGGGTTGTCGCGCGCAACCCTTTCAGATGCGCGCGGTCAAAACCCTAATCTTACCCATTCCCTATAAATATGGGATTAATACGAGGCTCAAACAGACAGAAATTAACCTAAAACTCTAGCAGAAACTTTGTGAACTTGTGTGCTACCAAACCCTCTTGTCCTAAACACTCACTCCCTTTAGTACTTGTTACTACGATGTAGGTTCCCGAACAAGAAGGAGTCCATAAGTGTTCTAAACGAAGATCTAGCAAAGAGAAGTGGTAAATTCCCAAGCACTTAGATCACCTTTATTTTTATTGTTTAAAACGACTTTAATTAATTAATTAGTGTTGTTTGATCACTTTAAACGGATTTCTAATTAATTAATTCCACATAGTATCTTGCGTTAAATAAGAATAGAATTGAGTAATTAATTTTTGATTGATCACTTAAGCTAAGGCGAATCTTGTTTATTTTGTTCTTCTCACAAATTTGAATTAAATAAAGAATGACGACTTTGCAATGTAATTCCTACGTGATCAATGCCTGTAAATAAAATCAACTAACATAGTTTTTGGTATTGCGTTGCATATATTGTTTGGTGATGAAATCGTGAAAAAGGAAGAGCTAGTAGAGGCCGTAACTAGGGCTAGAATAGCGATTCCTCCCTAAAAGGAACGTTATTTTAGTACCCTCGCTCCCGAACTCATTTCTGGTACATGTAGACAAATTTGGGCATGGGTAAACTTACAATTCGTGCTAATTATCCCTTGAACTCTATTTGGGAGAAAGACATGAACAAGGTTTATGAGTTTTCCTAAAACTCATTGGCGACTCCTACTTGTTACTTACTAAAAAGCGTGACGAGAGGATCATTTCTAATTCAAGGTCCCCCAAACAGTCAGGAATTCAAATCCTAATACACCCTAACAAGTGTAAAGTCCTAGGCTTTTAAAGGGCCATGGGCATCTAAGGAGAAAGATCCCTTACGATGGGAACACCCTCCTTACATTGCTAAATTGTAATTGACACCCAATTCAATTTTTACATTAATTTCCATGCAAAAAAATG